CACCAAGCTGAAACGCCGCCCCAGGCTGCAACGCCGCACCAGACTTAAACGAACGCCGCGCCAGGCTAAAACACTGTGCCAGGTTAAAACGCCGCTCCAAGCTGAAACGCCGCACCACTGCAGGCTGAAACGAATGCCGCCCCAGGCTGAAACGCTGCACCAGGCTGAAACAAACGCCGCGCCAGTCTGCAACGCCGCCCCAGGCTGAAACGAATGCCGCCCCAGGCTGAAACACCGGCCAGGCTGCAAAGCCGCTCCAAGCTGAAACGCCGTGCCAGGCTGAAACGCCGCTCCAAGCTGAAACGCCGTGCCAAACCAAGCTGCAACGCCGCGCCAAGTTGCAGCGCCGCTCCAAGCTGAAACGCTGCGCTAGCTGAAATGCTGCGCCAAGCTGAAACGCCGCACCAGGCTGCAACGCTGCTCCAAGCTGAAACGCCGCTCTAGCTGAAACACCATGCCAGGCTGCAACGCCGCTCCAAGCTGAAACGCTGCGCCAAGCTGAAACACCGCACCAGGCTGCAACGCCGCTCCAAGCTGAAATGCCACGACAGGCTCCAAGCTGAAACGCCGTGCCAGGCTGAAACGCAGCTCTAGCTGAAACGCCGCTCCAAGCTGAAACGCTGCGACAGGCTCCAAGCTGAAACGCCGCACCAGGCTGCAAAGCCGCTCCAAGCTGAAAAGCCGCTCCAGGCTGACACGCCACTTCAAGCTGAAACGCCGCCCCAGGCTGAAACGAACGCCGCCCCAGGCTGAAACGTCGCTCCAGGCTGCAACGCTGCACCAGGCTGAAATGCCGCACCAGGCTGAAACGCTGCCCCAGGCTGAAACGCCGCGCCAAGCTGAAACGCCGCACCAGGCTGAAACGCCACACCAGGCTGAAACGAACGCCGCCCCAGGCTGAAACGCCGCTCCAGGCTGCAATGCTGCACCAGGCTGAAACGAATGCCGCCCCAGGCTGAAACGCCCCACCAGGCTGCAACGCCGCACCAGGCTAAAACAAACGCCGCGCCAGGCTGAAACGCCGCGCCAGGCTGCAATGCCGCTCCAGGCTCCAAGCTAAAACGCCGCCCCAGGCTGAAACACTGCACCACTGCAGGCTGAAACGAATAGCGCGCCAAGCTGCAACGCTGCACTAGGCTGAAACGAACGCTGCGCCAAGCTGAAAAGCCGCTCCAGGCTGAAACGCCGCTCCAAGCTGAAACACTACACCAAGCTGCACCAGACTGAAACGAACGCCGCACCAAGCTGAAACGCCGCCCCAGGCTGCAACGCCGCACCAGACTTAAACGAACGCCGCGCCAGGCTAAAACACTGTGCCAGGTTAAAACGCCGCTCCAAGCTGAAACGCCGCACCACTGCAGGCTGAAACGAATGCCGCCCCAGGCTGAAACGCTGCACCAGGCTGAAACAAACGCCGCGCCAGTCTGCAACGCCGCCCCAGGCTGAAACGAATACCGCACCAAGCTGAAACGCCGCGTGTACAGACATCAAGTGGTGATGGTGGTTGGAATAACGCTTTAAATTGTAACACAATGTATTTGATTAGCTTTTATTATAATGTATTAATGATTTGAGGGGGTGATAATACAGTCACTGTAACCCCAGGCTGTGTCTGTCTGACTCGTGTCGGCCATAGCAACCTGTCGTAGCGCGCGCCTGGCCCGGCCGCCATTTTGAGGATGACGTACGGCCCCTGGCCTCTCAGCCCCGCCCACTCTCGTCTCCCCACATCCGGGAGCTCGGGCAGAGTGTGACGCAGTGACGTACTGGCGCGCGTGCCCGGGGGTTAGTGCAGGCGCGCGCACGCAGACAGGCGCGCGCACGCAGACAGGCGCGGGAGGGAGACCGAGCGCAGAGAGGGGGGTGTCTGGCTGACTGGATCCGCCGTGAATTGTCCGCCCGAGAGCCCAGGCCGCCCCGCCCGAGCCCGCCCTCCGCCGCCGCCGCCGCCGCCGCCGCACGGTCCTGGGAGCCCCCGGGGGGGAGGGGGACAGGAATGAGCCGCTCTGCCCGAGGCCGTGAGACGCAGGAATGATCTGAGCTCGGCCATTCCCGGCCTGCCCCGCGCTGCTCTCCGTGACTCGCCCTGCCGCCCGCCGCCCCGCCTGCCGGTAAGTGGGGGAGGGGAGAGAGGGGGGGGGACACCGAGTTACACACCGAGTATATCGCACTGCGCCAGCGGATACTAATCCCGGCCTCACATCGCAATGACCTCATTGTCAGGGCGGCTCACTGCATGGGAGACATGTCAACGGAGTGTGCACTCAGCATCCACTCACACTGCCATGAGCATCCACTCACACTGCCACTCACACTCAGCATCCACACTCACTGCACCAAGCATCCACTCACACTGCCACTCACACTCAGCATCCACTCACACTGCCACTCACTGCACCAAGCATCCATTCACACTGCACTGAGCATCCACTCACACTGCCACTCACACTGCCACTCACTGCACCGAGCATCCACTCACACTGCACCGAGCATCCACTCACACTGCACCGAGCATCCACTCACACTGCACCGAGCATCCACTCACACTGCCACTCACACTGCCACTCACACTGCCACTCACACTGCCACTCACACTGCACCAAGCATCCACTCACACTGCACCAAGCATCCACTCACATTGCACCGAGCATCCACTCACATTGCACCGAGCATCCACTCACACTGCACCGAGCATCCACTCACACTGCACCGAGCATCCACTCACACTGCACCGAGCATCCACTCACACCGCACCAGCATCCACTCACTGCACCGCAGCATCCACCGCCAATTGCCACTCACTGCAATCGGTATGACCACCGCACCGTAACCCAGCATCCACCACACTGCACCCAGCATCCACCTCACACCGCACCGAAAGCACCACGCGACACCGTTACCAGCACCGTAATCAGCATCCACGCCAAGACTGCATCGGCATCCACGCCAGCACCGCACCGGCATCCACGCGCACTGCACCGGCATCCACGCCAAGACTGCAACGGGCATCCAGCATCGCACCGGCATCCACGCCAAGCACTGCAATCGGGCATCCACGCCGCACTGCACGGGCATCCATCGCCAGCACTGCACGGGCATCCACGCCAAGACTGCATCGGCATCCACGCCGCATCGCACGTGGGCATCCACGCCAAGCACTGCACGGGTATCACGCCACACTGCATCGGGCAGCATCCACGCCAAAGCACTGCACGGCACCACTCAAGCATTCGCACGGGCAATTCCACGCCAAGCACTGCACGGGCATCCACGCCAAGCACTGCATCGGGCATCCACGCCAGACCGCACGGGCATCCACGCCAAGACTGCATCGGCAAAGCCACGCATCGTACCTGGGCAGCCACGCGCACTGCACGGGGCAGCCACGCGCACTGCACGGGGCAGCCACGCGCACTGCACGGGGCAGCCACGCGCACTGCCACTCACTGCACGGGGCAGCCACTCACATACTACCTCATCATCTCTGCCCTCTTAATTGCTAATTCTCTCTTTCTGCCCCCCTTCTCTCCCTCCTCTTCTCTCTCAGCCCACTCTTTCTTTCACATCTGCTCTTCATTTGCACCCTACTTTCTATACTCCCTACTTTCTATACTCCCTACTTTCTATACTCCCTACTTTCTATACTCCCTACATCCATTATTGCCCTCTTTGCTTCAGTAGTCTTTTACAAGGTAAATTTAACTTCCCACCCCTAGGATGTATAACAATGATTTGGGGATTTAATCCAAGTACCAGGGTGTTAATATCTAGGAAAAGCAGATCATTGATATCATACTTTATAGATTTTCTGCCTTTCCAGTAATCTGAGGCTTGGTCTGTAATAGACCCCGTACTAGTTGTACCTGTAAATAGCTGCTATAAGCCCAGCCCCCAACTCATGCATCAGAGTACGTACATGAACATTTAAGCCAGTCATGTCTATGGCTCCGTTCATGGGGTGGGGGGAGGACATGAATTGGATGAGTTAATAGACAAATGCTTCTTCTCTCATCTCTTTTCTGATACATGTGTTGCCAGTGCTACAAATACCCCATAAATTCAAATTTAAGATATGCGCAGCATTCATCTATAGCTTTTGCTAGTTTCTGATCAAATAATTCTGGATGATGTAACTAACATTAAATTGTAATGGGCATTATAATGTGCGAGGGTGCAGATTCCTGGGTCCCCACTTTGGCCCAATATCATAACCAAATAAGAGCACAGGGCTTTCGGTGTTGTGACTGGTACTTTTATTGCACCACAAGTAGACCTAGCGATGTGTCAACCAAGACTGGTCAAGGACCAAATTTGGTTCCATCTTTGCAGTGTGCACTTGTGTTGGAATAAAGGTTACCAATTCCTGCTTTTTGCAGAGCTTTGTGCAGTAAATGTAAGCATTGAGGTTTTTTTAATTTTATATTTTTAAATTTCAGAACCACATTGTATGGTTTTAAAACAGATTCAACACTATATTAATGGCTAGTTTTATACATGGGGGGAAAAAAAAACCTTAATGATTTATTTCTTAATAGTAT